CCTAGCGGGGGTCCTCCACCCCCAGCCCTCTTCCCTGCCTATGCAGGGGGTCGGACTCGATGATCTATTGAGGTCCCTTCCGACCCTAACATCTATGACTCTATGAACAAAAGCGGTCCAAGAAAACCTTGTTTTTATTCTACTAGAAGTGAGGAAAGGCTCAGGTCAGTTCCAGTCCTTATTCTGTTCCTTCTTGGAGTAATGTAGGACTATGAGGAACTTTTTAAGGACACTCCAGCCTTTCCTAAAAGCTCTGGTATCTGCATTAACTGTATACAATGTAGTCTTATGATCATGGTCAATGAAAACCATGTAGAAAGTTGTGGCTCTGTTCAGCATTTCTCTTGATATTTGTCATACAACAAAATTCATGTCCATCTCCCGATTTTGCTCAAAAGGTCCCTTGAGACTTTGGGAACTTACCAACTAGCATAGGCAAGAGTAGTTGGTTAAGGTGCATCTGAGCCAGTATTTTATTAGCAGTCCCTAACAACAAGAACCCTGATACCTACTGCAGACTGTTTGTTGTGTTCTTCTTTTCTTTTGTCAATGTTAAATTATGGTCACATCTTTGAGTTCTTGAGTGATAGCTTTGTCTTACCAGGTTTGGCCAAAGAGGTTGTGTAAATTCTGTCAAGACTATACACCCTAATTTATAGACTTCTGTTGGAGTCCCATTGGGACCTGAAACTTTTCATTTTTATCTTATATTTTTATTTCAAAACAAACCTGAATAATTCTTCATTTGTGGTCAGTAACTATGGCTGTAAAATAAATTTGGGGTAGAAGGTCACTTTCCATAGCTAGAAACTTGTTTTTTCCCCTGCTCCCCAAAATAAGAATCCCAGGTATTCCTGTTCCTTGTTTATCTTGCCCAAAGCTGGTTGGGAATCTTCCAATGAAACAGTTACTCATTGGAAGATGCAGCAGGGCTGGGGGGTCAGGGGGCTGAGGATTGGGAGTGAGGGGCCCCAGCAGGGGCAGGGGGGGCAGAAGAGGGTGCTGTGGTCTGTAGTAAGGGGCACCAGCAGGGCTGGGGGGAGTAGGGAGCTATGGGTTTGGAGTGAGGGGCAACAGCAGGGATGGGAGGCTATGGATCGGGAGTGAGGGGCACTAGCAAGGCTGGGAGGGTAGGGGGCTGTGGGTCTGGAGTGAGGAGCACTGACAGGGCCAGGGGCTTGTGGGCCAGGAGTGAGGGGCACTGGGGGGGCTGTGGCTTGGGAGTGAGGGGCAATGGCAGGGGACTGGCATATCAAGACTGCTGAGCAGCAGAAAGCAGTGTGGGGTGGGGGGACAGCTGTAGCTGGACGTGTCCCGGTGAGTGAAGGGGTAGGAGGAGCTCTGATTTTTCTATGATTAAAAAAAACAAAATCAAATGCCAAAATATAGAGGTATTTGGAATTTATTTTATTATAATGATTGAAGAACTGGTAGGCTTCAAAATTGCTTTAAAATTGTAAATTTATCAATAAAACATTGTTTTAAACTGATACTTTATATATAGTTGCAGTTCATTTTAATCACATAAAATGTGGATTTTGGGGGGTTTAACTAGAGATTCTGGGATTTTTACCAGAGAATTTTGGATTTTTAAACAGAGAAAACCAGTATGCCTGCTGATACAAATTGGGTAGAACTTGGTTCTCCCACATTGGATGTCAGTGACTGAAACCACTCATTGCGCCTGTCTCTCTCATTTTGGGTTTCATGGCAAACTGAAAAATTATTCTTTTTTTTCTTTTGAAGAATATTTCTGAAATATCAAATCTCACAGTACAGATTGTCATGACCCAAAGGGTATGATTTTGTGTGCGCTTCGGCACCGCAGAATTATTTCCCGCCACAAGGAGCTTTCTTTGCACGGTGCAATTCTCAGTTGCATAGAGACAACCCCGGTGCAAAGGAGTTCCCGCCACCCGTATGTAAATTTGTGTCCCACTATTGGCTGTTTCTAAAATTATTCCCATGTGGCGGCTAGCGATTGGCTTGCTAGCCGTATAAGAGGCTTGAGCTCTTATATGGGTTTCCGCCCAAGTTGGAGGAGGAGAAGGAGGACTTCACATCTCGTGAAGAACTCTAAGCGCGCTGTGGAGCTTAACGAACCCAGCATGTGCCTTAAGAAGGATATAGAGGCCTGATCAACCTCTAGCCCCTCCCCGTCATCGCCTGATCCCTCGACGTACCCTTCCCTGCGCGCTCGTGGAGAGTCACCTTTCGGACTCTCATCGTGGTATCCAGAGCTCTTCTCAGGTTATTTCGTCTGGTTGATTCAACGGGCTCGGGGTTCTAGAGCTCTCAGCCGGCCTTGGACCAGAGTTCGCGGTTAGAACTGTTGTCCGCTCTTCTTCTTTTCTATCTGTAACTGCAACGCAAGCAAGTTTTCCTGCCTGCACCGCGACCGTCTACGGTGTAAGTAAAATAATCTTTAATTAACCTCTACGCGTCCATGCCTAATTCTAGCCCGCCGTGCCGAATTCCCCGACCCACGTGCCAGGGCTGCTGGCCACAGCCCGCTGCGTGCCCCCGAAAGCCTCGGACCGCTCCCAGCCCGCACACAGATAAAACATTTCCCATTCAGCCTTAACCTTGCTGAGTCTTCCAAGGCTGCTTATGTATGACAAGTCATGAAATATGTATGTTTGTAAAGTCTGTAGTAGAACACTTGTGTGGTATTTTCTTCCGTCCTTTAGCAACTTCCCGTTCCACCACATGGCTCTATACTGCTTCACTTACTCAGATGGAAGAATAGTTATTGAAGAATGGTAATATAAATATTTCCGAGAATGTAATTTTGCTCCTGTCTTTGCCTGTGCAGACTGACTGATTTGATTTGCACTGGGTAGAACAGTAACAGATTGTGCTGGAAACAAGTGGCTAAAATCTGCAGGCTCTGAAGCACTACAGCAAACCAAGGTTTAGGAACTTGTTGCTGCTATTTTCATTACATTGGGTTATGCAGTTGAGTAGGTGATGTGGATACGTGGAGCTAATTGTTAGAGCATTATACCAGCCTGTGCCTAATTCAGTCCTCAGCAGTTTGAAGACATTGTTTTATATGCAGTTGTGGCCATTTAGGACCCTCAAACTAGGAAGTGTTTGAGAATTTAGGCTCTAGACATGTTACATTTGTCATGTTATATGCACTGTTTTGACATGACAGCAAACACATTCATGCCATTTGGCGTGCTAAAAAAAAGCTGATCCTTCAGAAAAATGGTGGATCCTTCACCGAAAAGATGGTGTTTCAGGCAGCAACTTCTTTGTTGCAGGAAAATTTTCCATGACAAATTTGTGTGCACAGGTCTCTCTCATCCCCACAATATCCCACAGTGTTCTGTTCTCCCTTCACTCCCAGTAGCAATGGTGATGGTGTTGCAGCGGTGGCAGAGCCTGATTGGGTGCTAAGGTGGCCTGATTGGCCCTTTCCTCCATGGGTGGCTTGCAGGTAGTCTCACCTGTTGTGATGGTGGAAAGAGCTGGTCAGTTGAGCCTGTCAGTGAGCCTATCTTGCTTACTGACTGGCTCCCTTGGGGGCAAGGATAATTAAGGAGCAACTTGCTATTGCCCCCTGGGTGGAGGACATGCCTTTGTGGTGACTGGGCTCCTCTACACATGCAGGTAAAGGCACAGTGGGATAATGAGGGATCCACACGATCGTGCCCCCACTATATAATGAGTGATCCACACATGCGTGGCAGAGGTGTGGTTGTGGGATTGTGAATCAGATGCCATCATACCTTGTTGCTGATGTTAGGGGAGCCTGATCCTGGGCTCCCCCTGTACTAGCAAGAGGCAGGTTCCTGTGGCTGGGAGCCTTCTCGGCAGATGGGGCTCCTAGTGGTGGGGGTGTGTGGGGTCCCCTGCAGCTGGAAGCCCTGTCATCTGGGAGCTTCCAGGATCTGGAGTGCACATGACCTGCCTGAGCCGCTGCACTTTAGAGTGCTACAGAAATAACATATCTAAGGCCTTTAATCATCTTTATTCTACATATTTTGTTTAGATAAGTAAAAAGTTTAAGATATTTCCATTTGAAACGATACAACAGAATGACATGTTAAACTTTTCAGCTTAATTGGTGTGCTCTTATATTTGCAGCTGCACTGCTTACACCAGTCCCTTCGAGACCTCACCAGTGAACAGGTTCGCCTCGGAGATGATATCAGCAGGGAGCTTTCAAGAAGAAATCGGTATAAACAGAAGTAATTTCCAGATGAGACAGAAATAAAAATGCTCTCTTCTATATTTATATGCAGTTCTTTAACTTTTTTTGCTGGTACCATGGTTAGTAATGAAACAAAAAATGTAAACAGCTTGTATAAGAGTTTGGATAATGGGCATCCTATGAATTTTAAATTTGGAGGAGAGACTCTCTTCCATAAGTTGTTTAAGCTACATAATCTTTGCATAGTGTTTTTAAGACTAAAAATAAAATCCTTCTGAAAGATAGCATTTTTCTGATGGTGAGAGCAGAACAGGCAGGGGTAATTATCTTCTACTCAGCTGCTGATACACAGCTAGATCAGGAGTCTCTTGAGGCTAAGTTTGCTCATCCTCGGGGCTTTCTTCAGAGCTCACTGCTATAGTATCTGAGAAGAACAAATGGATTTGATAGGTCACTTTGTTTAGTGCGTCTCCATTTCTTATTATGTGAAATGGGCATAATGCCTCTTTTGTAAAGGTAATTTAGTTTTTATAACTTGTGGTGAGATCAATAAAGACTAAATATTAATTATATCTTATTTCTATTACATGATTTTTTGAAATTTCAGGTATAGGATTTCCTTATTACACACTGAATGTAGCTGTGTGTTCTCCTTAATTTCAATCCTGAATCAGAACTACTGCTAATTTGAGCAGCGAGTTGAGTTCTGGATTTCACTGCTTCTTGTTTTTATCCATGTTAGTTAGTTTAGTTTTACATAAGTTTAACCAGTGGCCAGTTTCACAACCCAGTTTCTTATTATCTGCCTGCAGAGCATAGATACACTTTTATGTGGATTTAGCCCTGTTTTTGACTGCTAGTTATTCTAGCTAGGGTTTTGTAAACTGAAAGAATCAGTGTAATATTCTGCCATCTCAACAGCCAAAATATCGAACAGAAACAAATTGCTTATTAAAATAGTGATGCTCGATTTTAATCTAACACCCAACAGTATTAATTTCAGTGTTTTGCCTGTTTCCTTCTAAGGACTGATGCAGAAACCAAAAAGACTTTGGCAGAGTTGTCTGAAAAAATCACTGAATCCCAAAGGCAGGAAACGGTGCGTATGACTGTATTGAAAAGATCAGCTTATGACAAGTGATCGGGGGAGGGAGGAGAGCAATTTGACATGTCTTGCCAGTCAACTTGTTAATGCATACCTAAAACAGTGAAAGTTTAAATCAGTTTATAGCACTGATTTCCCTGTATAGGGAAAAATTGACTTGCTTTTTGCTTTGGATCCTTGTTCATTGAAATAAGAATTCAAGATGAGACTTTCTCATGACAGGGCAGTGCCTATTATTGATAGTTATTTGAGGACTAGTTTATGCTCATTTAAAGTATGGCACATTCAAGGCACCTCTCCATAAATTTTCTGAATTTAGCTGCATCCCACAACACCAGTGCTGTGGCCAGGTGAAACTGCCCTGCATGCCACATTCCAGGAGGTGAGAGAGCCAGAGTGGGTGTTCTTGTCTGCATTAGGTTTATCTGATAAGCCTATATTGAAAATTATGGAAGGGTGCCTTGAATCAAAAAAAGCTGAGGACCACTGATCTAGACTCACGTAAGTATACAGAGGTATATCTGAGAAACCTAATGGAGGCAAGAGTTCACCCTCCTGCTGGAAACAGAGGTGCATGGGGCCAGAAATAGCACTAATGCTGTGGTACGTTTGAAAGGGTCTTGCAGCTCCCTAGTTGAGAACCACTGCTTTAGCTTAATTGTTAATTACAGGGTACATCTTGCAAAATACGACTTTTGCTTATAATTTTCTGGTCATACAGGTTTCCTAGCCAATACTGAGAGAAACTACAGTCAGTCATGCACCAGTACAGGCTGGGGACTAACTGGCTAGGCAGTAGCTCTGCAGAAAAGCTAAATACTACAGTGGTGTTTCAGGTGTTGCTTGATGCACCAGGCTCAGTGGCCAAGTCTCCGAGATGATAGTGACAGTGAGTTAGTCTTCTTGGCTGCCGGCAGGAGATGCCTTGTAAGATCCAAACAACCACACCCTGTACTGTTTCAGAGAATTGACTTTAACAGTAACATTGAGATATTGCATTCTCTAAAACATACAAGAGTGACCTTCCATTCCCCAGGACTAAATTTTCGGTCTAGACAGTGATGGGCATCATACAATAGTTGTATGTTCAATCTGTAACACAAATGAATATCTATCTGAAAGGTCTAGGATGCATATGACATGTAGTCTGACAGACCCCACCTTCATCCACTGAAAAAACTGCTTGAAATCTATGCATCTCTCCACCCAAGACAGTAGGGACAAGTTGGCCTCTTTTTCCTAGGTAAATTCTGTCATTGGTCTGGTTGCAAATGGAAGAGGTATATCCAGTTCTGTTCTCTGTGTTTCATCTATTGAAGACTCTGGTTGTGGACACCATTCCCCTTTGTGTGGGACACGCTACACCACCAGTTCAAAGCGTGAAGGAAATGTTTGCCTTCTGATACACTTCAAGTCAGCATGCTAGAAATCCAAACTTTTTGACTGGCATGCAAGGCATTTATACCTTTTTAAGGGTCTTGCTGTTCAAATGTGTATAGCCACTACATTATCAGGTATGGAGGGTCTTGATTGTTTTTCTTTGGCAAGAAGCTATGTGCCTGCATTATGTCACTCCAGTTTGGGGCCTTCAGCATGTCTTATTCTGGCTGTAAAAACCTCACACTTTTGGTAATCCAGGCCATCTACAGTTAGGGTTGTTGGACAATAGATTTATGACATGAGAACAAAAAGTACTAGAGTTGCTGCTTTCAAGGGTCTTGGTACCTCATGAATGTTTTTCTGCTGCTTTTTGTTCTCTCTCAGAAAAGACCTGGCAAGACTGTGATCTGAAGTTTGGGCTGGGCAATGCTGTTATGCTGTTATACAAAGCTTGTGAGACTAATTTTGATCATCTTGTCAAGTCTGCCTACCCACTGTCTCAGAATTTTGCCACATTTTTAATCTGGAAGTGGAATTGCTGTACATGACTACTTGCATGGGTAGACTGACACCTAGAGAAGGAGGTTCGTAGTGGTAGTCCTAGAAATCTTGCTTATGCGGAAACTGTCTACATGGCAAATCTATGAATCCTAATAGGTTCCATTTTCAGTTTTATTTGAAACCCATGGAAGTGACAGTTTTGAATATATTGGACTATTTGCTTTATCTGAAGCTGTTCTGATTACCACTTAGAATCATAGAAAATTAGGGTTGGAAGGGACCCCAGGAGCTCATTTAGTCCAAACCCCTGCTCAAAGCAGGACCATCCTCAACTAGATCATCCCAGCCAAAGCTTTGTCTAGCCGGGGCTTAAAACCCTCCAAGGATGGAGTTGCCACAGCATCTCTGGGTAACCTGTTTCAGTGTTTTACTACCTACCTTGAGAGAGAGTTTTTTTCCTAATATCTAGCCTAAACTTCCCTTGCTGCAACTTAAAATCATTGCTCCTTTTTTTGTCATCTGCCACCACTGAGAACAGTCTAGCTCCATCTTCTTTGGAACAGCACTTCAGGTAATTGAAGGCTGCTATTAAATCCCACCTCAGTCTTTTCTTCTCCAGAATAAATAAGCCCAGTTCCCTCAGCCTCTCCTCAGAAGGTATGTGCCCCAGCCCCCTAAACATTTTTTTGCCCTCCACTGGACTCTCCAATTTGTCCACATCCTTTCTGTAGCGGGGGGCCTAAAGCTGGACACAGTACTCCAGATGTGGCCTCACCAGTGCTGAATAGAGGGGAATAATCACTTCCGTCATTCTGCTGGCAACACACCTATCAATGCAGCCCGGTATGCCATTAGCCTTTCTGGAAGCAAGGGCGCACTGTTGGCTCATATTCAGCTTATTGTCCACTGTAACTCCCAGGTCCTTTTCTGCAAGCTGCTGCCCAGCCAGTTAGTCCCCAGCCTGTACTGGTGCATGGGACTGTTTCATCCTAAGTGCAAGAATTTGTACTTGTCTTTATTGAACCCCATGAGATTTGTTTTGGTTCAATCCTTCAGTTTATTGAGGCCACTTTGAATCCTAGCCTCACCTCCCCCTAGCTTGGTGAAAGGGGGTTTAATTTTAATTTGGGTTAATTTGATTTGAATTTCATTTTAATTCAGCTTTATTTGGCCATCAACTTAGTACATTTTTCTTTTGAGAGAGGACCACAGGTTACAGTCACCTTTGGTGACTAGAATCATTAACGGAGTGGCCCATGTTTTTCAGAGGATCAGGATTCCTTCCCTTGCTTGGGATCTAATTACAGTGTTGGAAGGATGTGTGACCTCCATCTGAGCCCAGGCTAATCTGTTCCTTTTATCGCCTTTCCATCAAACTAGCCTACTTGGTGGCCTTCATACTGGCCAGGAGGGAAAGGGTAAATCCAGATGTAGGGCAGAAGTTCCCAAACTTTTTTTTATTGCATACCCCCTTCCAGATTTACCAGCTGCCTGTGTACCTCTACCAGCCTATGTTTTATATTTTAAGACTTTAAATGCCAATTATTATTATTATAATGAAAATTAAATCTGCTATTACACAATTTCTCTTGAGTACCCCCTAGAGATGCCTTGCATTCCT